ATCTGCAACATGCAGTCGCAATCGGCATCCAGACCTTCCAAAGCGGCAAGCTGCTCGCTGGCGAGGGTGGAGACCTCCCAGTTATAAGTTATGCGCTTGCTCGACTCACGCTTCTTGTTCGTGAATACAAGGAGCTGGTCAAGGATGGTGAGGACAGCTCCGGTCGCCGGATCGGCATGTCGATCGGACCGGAAGTTGCGGTTCGTGAACTGATTGGCATCACGCACGATGACGTCCACCTGGTCTGCCACGGCCGTGATCAAAATCTTCGTAACGGCGTTCTTACCGGCCGTAATACCTGACTGGAAAGTATGGGCATTGACATGAAAGGCGCAAACTCGAAGTTCAGGCATGTGCATGCGCTTGCAGTCGTCCAAACTCCCGGTCCGGAATATCGGACACTCGTGGAACAAGGTTGGGGAAATGCCAGCGCAAACCCCAACCACCTTGAGGCATTCAGGGGGCGCAGCATCGACCGCGACAAACAAACCCCCTTCTCCAAAAAATTTGGCCCGCTGCTTTACAAACAAGCTCGCGCAACAAAACAAGTGCCTTGCCAACTGCTGGTTGCAATGCGCAGTGCGTTTGTCGGAATTGCTGACCCAAACTATGCCTTGCGGCAGTCTAGTTGCACAGGTCTGGCCAAAGCATGATTGAGGATGAGCTCTCTGTCCAGCAAATCTGACGCACATACATACCGCATCGGGATTGGGTCACAAAATGTGTTGGGGCCTCTTTCTCTGAAGCTGCGGAGCAGAATAGGAAAAAGGCAATTGAGAGTTCTGCGTGATATGGAACAAACATATGGCTGACGGCACCTCGTTTGCGCAATTCTGCAGCCACAGCAGTGGCGAAAAGAGGTGCTCCAAGCACTGTGCAGCCAAGCCTGCATGGAGAATCACCCAGCTCTTTCTCAAGGAAATGACACAGAAAACGCAATGACTGCCTTACTTCCCTTTGTTCTTTTTGGTCCACGTGACGGGAAGGGGTCGCTCTCATGCAGCGGCTGCCAGGAAGTGTAGGAGACACAACCCAAGGACAAAGACAGCTGCAGCTGGCCATTTGCATCAACTTTTGCCACTTGTATGCCTGGAGCAAGCACTTGGCACATTGCGTGCGTATATATGTATATATGTATGTATATGTCTATATACTTTTTTGGTGAACGTGTATATATATATATATATATGTCGAGGCCACGGCTGATGGCCACGTCCAAAAAGTGCGAAGTTCAAGCAGGTCTTGATTTGTCAAAGCAAGGGTTCGGACACTTTTTGGCGGCACGCACCAGGATGCGCCAGCATCCTCGCAAGCACAACGTACCGTCAAGGAAGTGAAGCGGCGAAAGGGCTCCAAGCCTCGGAGAAAGTGTGCTGTCTGGGCCCCACGAAGAGCCACGCAATTCCAAGACGTCAAGGTTCAATCAGAGGCGGCATAATCTCGAACCCCAGTTGCTAAAAAATCGGAGAAATAATGACAAGTTCCCACGCCCTGAATATACTGTTGGCCCCAGGGAAAATATCCAATCAACTTAGTTTTCTATTGTTCTCCTATTGCTGCCCTCAAAACTCCTGGTTTAACTCTTCTGGCGACCGCCGGCCCTCACTTGCTAAAGCAAGAACAACTCCAGCTAGCTGGCGCTAGCTTTCGTGAAAATGACCATTAACTGCCAAGGAACAAATCATCCAAGAAGCTTTCTATCTTTCATGATATTTTCTAGACCTATATAGCGACGGACATGTACTTAGACTAGATTATTTTTCCAAAACGACGACCCCTCACTACTTTAAACACGCATGTTCTAAGCGTGCACTTGTGGGACATCCGTATGAGCAGAACTGAAGACACTTGGAACATCCGTCTGAGCAGAACTGAAGCGGTGACATATCAATAGCTATAAATAGATATATCAATTCCGCCCCATTCCGTGCTCTGAACAGAGCACTACGCATTCATTCCCAAAGGCAGCTGCGAGCGCACCTGTCCTTTTCCTTCCTGAAGATGTGGGTAAGTGGAAGGTTGGATCACCGGCTCAAATTCATTGATCACTGAACAGACAGGATAGAGCTCAGAACTTGTGTTCGCAGAACGAACTCCCTCAACTGTCAAGCACCTTCTGACCCGTCAAATTCAGGATGACTCTTGTCAGACGCTGCCATCGGCAGACGAAACAGCGGATGACACCGCACAACAAAAGGCAAACTGAATAGACGGCCAATTGCGAAGGAAGAAACCAAATCTACAGCGATCCGCTGAAAAACAATCGCTCCATCCATTTCGACCATATCAGGCTTACATTGGCGACTGGGCAGTCTGAGCAGACTGAGTCGAAGAGCAAAATACAGAATGAGCATCCGTTCTGAACTACTGTCATCTTGGCTGTGCGGCGACAGTGAGCACCGTCCAACCCCATCGGTCCAGGGATCTTGGACCGACAGGGTGGGTGGGTGGGAGAAAAAAAGACCGGTGGAGCTCAAGATCTTGAGCCAAAATGGCATTGAACAACGCCATCTTGACAAATGGTAACTAAGTGATCGATCGAACGAATGCTGAATGAACCTCAAATTGACCTACTCGTCCGAGACCTACCAACCGAAGATGAGGCGCCCAATTCCGTCCCATTCCGTGTTTTGAACAGAGCACTGGCACTACGCATTCATTCCCAAAGAAGAAAAAGAAACAGCAGCCGCGAGCGCACCTGTCCTTTTCCTTCCTGAAGACGTGGGTAGGTGGAAGGTTGGATCATCGGCTCAAATTTATTGATCACTGAACAGAGAGGATAGAGCTCAGAACTTGTGTTCAAAGAACGAACTCCATCAACTGTCAAGCACCTTCTGACCCACGCCGTTGTTCCTCAGTTCTGGGAACTCAGCAGGCACTGTCTTCCACCCTAGAGAAGCAACGCCTGCGTCCATCTTATCTCTGGACGGCGGATCCGCCGGGTTTGCGTCGGTTGACACACGAGTCACACGATCGATGCATGTACAGACCCGCGCTTCTAACGCGAGCCGGCAAAAGACACCCGTGAGCTCGCACATATCTTCGCGAGCCGAGTATCCCTTGACCAAAATGCACCCGGAACTGGTTTGGAATCCACGAGCATTAAAATCCACTGGTTATCGATCTCGCTACGAAACGTCTCGAGAGCGACAACCACTGCAAACATCTCAACCGTTGCAATTTGGGATTTCCAGGGCAGCCATTTGTCTATAAAGTCCTGACTGACCCTAGCAGTCCTAGCACCGAACTGGAGGGGTTGCTTGCCTTTAGCAAAAAAAGAACACCTCCTATCCAAGGGAACTTTAAACTATCAGATCGGCCTTCGGGAAAACTGCCATCAGTAAAAATGACGGCGTCCGGCATTCTGGCTTCGAGCTCATTGATCTGCCTTGGAGGACCTTCCCGGATGAGCACGAGCCATTCTCTCAGTGAAGCCTTTAAGGCCTTGTTGAGATTTGTCATGGGAGCCTGAGAGTATTGTCTTTCAGACAAACTCCTAAGAAAAGCCCTGCCAATCTTGCCCCCCTTTGAGGTCAAGATCCCCTAGTTCTTGGATTGGCTCGAGGTCAACTCTGAGAACGAGTGCGAGAACTCGATCATTATGGTCAACGATCGTGACTGGCGGATGGTGTCACCATTTCAACCGTGGCTGACCAAACAAATTATGTCGAATGCTACCAGCTCCATCAACGTTCTGACTGAACATGATCAGGTCACGCCGCCAAGTTCTGGTTTTCACCTGTCGTTGTTTGCACACTGGACGGGATCAAGGCAGTTCTGCTTGATCGTCGGTATGCTCGCTCTTCAGGGCAGTCACTCCGGGTGTGTTCGCGGCTCAGAAATGGTTCAATGAGACCACAGCCACGATCGAGGAGCTGGATCTGCCGCCAGGCGCCAAGCCCGGTGCCAGCTTCCCTATACTCCGTCATCGGCGGCTCAGGGCCCTGGCCCTGTGACGTTGGGCCCTTCGGCCGCCAGCCAGTGAGATTGGCTGATCAGCTGAAGGTTGCCGTTTTTCCAACTGGCCAGATCGAGCCAGGTTCGTTTTTGTTAGTGTGAAAACCAGGGGCCGTGTGCGTTGCCATCGGAAGCATTGATCTAACTTTGTTCAAGGGTTCATGTATATCGCGTTTACCTTTTCTGTTTTTGGTTTTAAATGTATACATTCGGGTGATACTCGGTCGATCGATCCGAGCGAGTCACAAGCGGGAGGTTGGAGAGAGCTCAAACCAGGCAGGGTCGATCGGCGCCACAGGCCCGGGTCATGTTCTTCCCTTTCTCCTTGTTTTTCTACATCATCCTCGGATCCGCTCGGTTTCTCACCGCCGGTCGGGTTCCATGTTGCCGTTGCTCGCGGCCTCGATCGGCGCACTGCAGGTCAGATCCCCAGAGCGTGGCGGTAGCCAGTCGGTGTTGTCGTTCGACCGTGCGCCGTGCACTCTGCGACTGCCGTTCGGCGAATGCGGTTTCGAGCTCGGGGAGATGGGCTCATGACTGGTCGTTCAATATGTATAGTTTTGTTTAGATGGCTAGGGATCCTGAACGACATTTCGCGCAGCTTGTTCGCATCTTCCACCAATGGATCGCTCGCTCGCCGCGTTCCTGCGACTGCCAAGCTTCGACGAGAAGTTCGTGGATGGGCTGGAGCGCTTGGGTCTGCCACGCTCGGAGTTCTGGTTGACGCTGGACCAAAACGAGAGTGCAGACGAACAGATCGCTCGTTTTGTAGGTGTGGTCGACGTCAAATAACAAGAGATCAAGGACCAAGTGTTGGCTAGGACCGGTTGCGCACCATTGCTCTATCGTATGATTCATAGGGGCTTGGGAGAGGATTTTGGGGCGATTGCCATAAATCTCGGTTTTGAGCCGGAGACGAGATGTCGGGTCCGCTTCTGGGGGTTCGCTGGCAGCTCTCAGGTGTTGGCCTGGCCGCAGATCCACCGGCCGCAAGAAACCTCGGTTGTCGGTCGCCGCGGTTCCAGTCCCATGCATCACTCCAGTCGGAGGAGGAAAAAGAGAGATCACGCTGAGCTGACCGCCTGCGGCTGATCGCCAGGCCGGAGTGCGCGCGAAGATCAATCGCGGCGTTCTGGGCACTGATGCGAGTGCTCAGGATGAAAGAGAGGTGAGATCGATTGTCTTCCAATCGGGAGCCTTCCGGATCCGACACAACGTGCTGGCGTGGGAGGAGATGGAGAGATGGGCGCCTGATCATGGCTGCGCCTACCAACTCACCACTGAGGCGCTCACTCGCTACTGCGTATGGTTGGAGAACCAGTCACGCGGGCCGGCGGTGATCCCGGCTCTCACTTATGCAGTGAAGTGGGTGTGCAAGAGGCTGGCCATGGATCCACCTGACGTGAAAGCTCCGCACGTCTCAGCTCTGATCGAGAAGGTCTACTCGGACCGCAGCAAAGAACTGAGGGAGGCGCCGCCAGTTCCGATTTTAGCAGTCTCAGCGGTCAAATATCTTGTTAACTGCTTGATTTTAGAAGGCAAGATCTCTGCAGCTATTTATTTTTGTCTGGTGGACGCTGATTTGGTTCTATGCGTCACTGCGATGGGACAACGGCAAACACGTTGCCCCATCGTCGCTGAAGTTCACGCCAGACGCCCTGCTGTTTGTGTGGCAGACTACGGTTGAGCGGAAACGCAAGGGTACCAGGTTCGCGGTACCTTTTTGTTCTTTGTCAGGGGTGCCATGGCTCGAGCAGGGTTGGCGAGTTTTTCAGAAATTCATTGATTATCGCGATTTCTTTTGTGGGGTGTGTCCTCCGAAACCAAATTCGATCGGGTTCCGGTCAGTTATCCCGCGCCATGTGGCTCCAGTTTTTCCTCAGACAGGCATCGGAAGTCGCGCACCACGATCGTGTTCTGACCGATGATCAGATCAACGCGGTCGTGCCGCTGTGCGACGAGGTCACGTGGCACTCCATGAGGGTTACGTTGCTCGACGCAGCAGACAAGTACGGGTTCGAACCATCGTCTACGATCGAATCTGCGTACACAGCAGCGCAAGCGGTCCATGTCTGGCTGGGAGCTACGTTCGACCAAAAGAAACTGCAGTGCTCCGATCAACCAACCATTTTGGGGGTTGCATACGATCTCGTCAACACGCAGCTGCTGATCAAACAAGATCGGAAGACAGAGTTGGTGGATGAGATCGTTTCGCTCCTCGAAAGCCGGGTGCTCACCCCCAGGCAAGCAGGAAAGCTCACAACTGTGGTTGTGAGCTGCACTGCCTCTCCTGAGCCCCGGCCACTCGGCCACTGACCTCCTCCACCACGGTGACCACCACGGTCGACATGACCCAGGCCCTCCGAGCGGAGCGATCAAAAAAAAGACCGGTGGAGATCAAGATCTTGAGCCAAAATGGCATTGAACAATGCCATCTTGACAAATGGTAACTAAGTGATCGATCGAACGAATGCTGAATGGACCTCAAATTGACCTACTCATCCCAGACCTACCAACCGAAGATGAGTCACCATATTTTATATTATATATTGGAGAGGGTACTGCAGGTGGGGCGAAGCTCATTGCTCAAAAGTTGGTATTTGTATGCATGTTCTAAGTGTATTTTTAATGTCCAGTGCTAAGATGTTCTAAGAGCAGTTCTAAGTGTGCACTTAGAACTTCTACCTTTAAAAGTGTTTTCCAAAACTTGTTCTAAGTGATTGTCCGAGACTATAAATGTCTTAAGAAAGTAGTTCATTCTAATTTGTACCAAGTCCATTCAGCAAACTCAACCTACTTTGTCAAGAAGAAGCTGCTGATCAAAGCTAATCCCCTAAGAGTCTGTGCGCTGCGAGACACAAGGGCCGTGAAGCGTCCAATGTTCGGCCAGCCAGTCCTCTACAGCGGGACGCTGCTCATCAGGCACTGCCCCTGCAAAATGGCATGGCCCTTGAGGAGTTACCCGTTGAGGTCACTCTGAACAATTGAACATCCATTGAACGCCTGAAGCTCTACGAGCTGTTCCGGTAGCGAAAACACTCACCGTGGCATATTCCCCAGGCCTCGTCGGAAGTTGCAAAGCAAGCTCCCACAGCGCAGGGCATTGTACACAGCTTGTCCCGTTACAGATGTAGCCCCACTGGCTTTGGTGGTGTTTTGGCACCTGTTGCACCCCGCAAGCATGGCTAGCACCTGCAAGTGAAACAAATCTGAGCGCTTTCAATTGACTGACTGTCACTTTTACATCTTCAATGAGCTGATGGATGATTTGAGGGCCTCTCTTGCAGGCACCGGCGTCATGCCTCCGGGCCCTTTGAGGCCCAAGCTCTTACAGCTCAACGGGCCAATGGCTTCTCGGTGAAGCTTGCGCAGAGGGAGCCCCAAGGCATGAAACATTCGCCGCACCACACGGTTCCGCCCCTCAGCGAGTTCAACCTGCAGGCAAACAAACAAAGTCAAAGACACCAAAATTATCTGGTCTCCACCCTTTTTGGAGAGTTCATAGGAATCAGGAAAGACATCCAAGCCCTTCAATGCCCTTTGAAGATTTTGAAGACCTGCGTTGCCCTTCCCTTTCCCTGGCACCAGAATTTGAAGCTTCTCGGCAGCGTGAGGTTTTCCATCACCGCGCGGCACTAGCTCATGTCCCACGACATGCACGGAGATCGCCCTTGCAAGCTTGCCAGTGTCATCAATGCGCACACCTTCCAGCAGTTGCTGCAGCTGCTCATCAGAAGCGGTAGCTTTGTTGACCTTGGCTAACCCGGCAACGCCCTTCTTTCACCAACCGATTAAGACTAGGATCATATTCAGCTCATGCTCTAGGTTAGCTCTACATGTATTTATTTCAAACTGCGCAGCATTTCTGAACTGGAGCAAGCCTCGGTGACAACATACTTCTTTGTGATGCCTCCTTGGGCCAGAAGGATCCTGTGCAAGTCACCATTGCTTGAAAGTAGAAGCAATCCGGTGGTGCCTTTGTCCAGTCGCCCAATGTGCATTGCACAACTTGAAGCTCCAAGTAGCGGCACGAGACTCTTCGGTTCCTGTGAGTCCATTGTGGTGATGATGTTCTGGGGCTTCCACAGTGCCAGCATGGGAGATTCTGGTGTGCCCACATCAGGAGAAAGCCACGCATCTGCAGAGTCCAAAAGGTCCGTGGCAAGTGTTATTTGCCCGTTAAGGTGGAGCCATCCTTCAGGGAAAATATATTGCTGCAAGGAGCGTGATGAAAGCGAGCTTGGCGAGCTTCGTTCATGTCTTGGCGAGAGAAAACTCAGAGGCCTTGGGACTCTGCGGAGGCTGGTAGCTTGTTCAAGAGTTACCTGCGTGAAACTTCGGCAGCCGCGATGCGTTGGCCGAGAAGCCAATAACACAAACGCCAGGCGGATGGCAAACCTGGCGACTGGACATGTCCAATGACACTGCACCCATCCGCCAAGGACGGGAATCACATCCGAGGTAGAGGCGTCTTAATTATAGTTCAATTAATGTAGTCCCTTGATTTATAAACCCCCCCCCCCCTCAACAACCAAGGCCTCCAAAATAATATATATGAAAATCAATCAGTTGATAGTTAAATAAGGAATCCTTAGCTAGCTACCTCTGGAGCTACTCTCGCAATATTAAATTAAAAGGAAATAAGAATTCCTAACTTTGAAGACCTCTGGCAATATTAAATTAAAAGGAAATAAGAATTCCTAAGTTTGAAATAAAAAAATCCACTACAACTACCCCTCCAAAAAAAAAGACATTATTCTAGGGGCCTTTATAAATCAGTGCAGGGAAAAAAAAGACATAATTCTAGGGGGGTTTATAAATCTGAGGGCCACATTATTGAGCCACAGGTTGTTTTAATGGATTGTGTAATTTCTAAGTATTTTGCAGGTGCGGCACGACTCACCCAGGACAAAGTTGCCTGCGACGCTGAGGTAGCATCTGCTGCAACCAGCCGAGCGATTCATCTACAGGCACAAACAAGTGCCAAAAAAGAACAAAGTCTGAGCCTGAGGGTTTGTGGTCTCAATGCAGGTGCGCAAACTTCTATCTCCTCTGTCCTTGAGCCGTGTTGGCGCTACAACATACAAAGTGCGCCCTCACAACTGCATGAAGCATCGAGCGAAACTTGTCCAACACCAATCGCTGACCCAAGAGCTTGAGTTTGCCGAAGCCCCCCAAAGTTCAGCCAGGTGTAGTGCCCACAGCAAGTCACAATTTCACACGCCCGATCATGTGGGAATTGACCAAAGCCTATTGGGCAATGTACTGAACTGTGACACACTTATACAAATGCGTGCTGGCTTGAAAGCGGTCGCCACGCGCCAGCCTAAGTAAGCCGCCTACGGTTCCAGGTGGAAAGTTCGAGATTGAGGCCTCCAAAACCTCTAAAGACAAGAGTGAGCGGCGGCGACAGGGCGGCGACGGGTCGCGCAGGTCTGCGGAGCTCAAAAGGCCCAAAATCAAAGGTGACTCGCCGCTGCACTAGCCCTTTACTGATGGAAACAACGATAAACAACGTAGTATATAGACAGCTTATGCTTTACGTAGGTTTCATTCCACGCACATACCGGATTGATTTCACAGATGCAACACTGGCGTCTTCGTTGGTGCCAGTCCAGTGTGCATTCCTGGCACCCCCTGCTGAGAAAACTCAAGAAACAAGAACAATCCGACAGGATCCCTGTGATTCCAAGCGGCACACACACACGCCTCCCCCCGAGGGGAGGCATTCTTTTTCAATTAAGCTCCGGACAAGAGTGAGATAGGGTGAAAAGATCCTACGAGAAGCGGTGAACCTCGCGAAAAGTCTGGTAGGCCGTCATCGTGAAGACGAGGGGCGGTAGTGTGCAGGGGACGGTATGGAAAAGGGGTTCCCTCACGTGAGAGCTCATGAATATAACCAATGGGGCGGATACTTTTCGAGTTCATCACTCTAAGGCTGCGGCCACGTACGCCGTGCCAAAATGACTGGCTGCTCAGACCGCTCCGGTCACCTAACGGCTTGCTCGAAAAATTCAACAAGTCTTGGCAAATAACTTTGGCGGCCTCCTGCTGTCCGCTTCGGACACCTACGTTCCCGGGCATGGGGAACAACGACCGACTAATTCGACGGGTCCACAGGGGCCACTTTGCGGGGTCACCCTGGGCTTTCACAAGGAGAAACACACTTATAGAAATGCATACTGACTTGAAAGCGGTTGCCACACGCCAGCCTAAGTAAACCGCCTAAGGTTCCAGGTAGAAAGTTCGAGATTGGGGCCTCCAAAACCTCTACAAACAAGAGCGAGCGGCGGCGACAGGGTGACGACGGGTCGTGCAGGTCTGCGGAGCTCAAAAGGCCCAAAATCCAAGGTGACTCGCCGCTGCACTAGCCCTTTACTGATGGAAACAACGTGGTAGACAGCTTATGCTTTACGTAGGTTTCATTCCATGGAGGTACGTCAATCCGTCAATCCCGCGTCCCGGATTGATTTCACAGATGCAACACTGGCGTCTTCGTTGGCGCCAGCGCCATGTGCATCCCTGGCACCCCCTGCTGAGACAACTCAAGAAACAAGAACAATCCGACAGGATCCCTGTGATTTTAAGGGGGGACACACACACACACCTTAAAAAATAGTAGCAATAACAATAATAATCTATCTATCTATCTATCTATCTCTCTCTCTCTCTCTATCTCTCTCTCTCTCTCTCTCTCCCTCTCCGTTTGCCAGATTTATGGTCTCGCGCCCCCGTGCCCGTATCTTCATGTCCGAAACTGGCCTACAGCGCCTCTCTGCAACGCCTTCACGCGTGAGGATGCTGCTGGCAATGCGCAAGCAAGGGTAGCCAGTATCTCTAGTGGTTCTTGAGCAAAGGACATGTTGGGTGTTGCTTTTCGCATGAGGACATGTTGGCCTCCGCTGCCACACGCCAAATCCGCTGCCCACTCGGCGCTAGGCTTTGTTGTCGCTGCGGGCGGCGCCCAGCCAAGACCCCGCGGCTCACCGAAATGAAAATCTCAAGGAACCTGAGGCGCAAGATTTAAAATACAAAATAGGTATGTGTGTGTGGGTGTATGTGTGTATGTATTTTTTATGTATTTATGTATGTTTGTATGTATGTATGTATGTATGTATAAAATGACTTGCTTTGTTGTGCCTTTTTGGAAGGATTCCTCGCTAGGGCTTGGCCTCACCTGGCTCAGAAAAAGTCTACCTCGAAGTGTTCGGCAGCCGCCTTCTGCTGGTCGGAGGTGTGGTCCTCCTCTTCCACACCTTCTGGGCTGGGTGTCATGGCCGGTCTTCGAGAACTTGAGCTTCTTGGGAGCCGGTGGTGACAGGCTGGCAGCAGCGGTGGTCTGCCTGGGAGGGTCTCCGGCGCAGGCTGGCGTTCATGGCCGATTGGAGACTGTGTGCTTTTGGCTTGGATTCCAAAGAGTTGGCCAGCGTGGGAGAAGACTGACTTGGTCCTCTGCATTCCTTTTTGAGCCCTTTCGTGAGGATTAGTCGTTCTGCATCATCCAAATGGCTTTGTAGCCCGCAGCCGTTGCGCTTGATGGTTTTCCCTCGTTGCAGTGTGGGAGTGGTGACCCTGGTGCTGGCGGCGGTAAGCTGCATCAATGCAGGCACTGTCCACAAAGCTGCGAAAGGTGTCTTCGTTGGCTTGTTTGTGAACGGCCAGCTTGCACTTGCTGCACTGAGATATCCTTTGGACTCCTGGAAGGCACGCTCATCCAGTGTGATTGGATGTTGTTGTTGTACTTGGAGCAGTCCGGCAATGACGCTGGCCCGGGTTGGTTTCTTGCCCACTGGCTTCTCTGGTGAGATGTCTGGTTCCGGAGCTTCGTGGGTGAGTTGGTCACATTCTTGTTGGAGCCTGGCTTCAATGGTCTCCACTGTGCGGCCTTGGTGGACCCTGGTTTGGCAGGTGTGACATTGGTACCCACTTCGATGTGGTTTCCATTGATGTTTGCCAGTGATCCATGGTTGTCGACGTTGCTGGATGAGCCTCTTCTTGTACTGCTTTGTCGTGTGGCCAGCCTTGCTCAAGGCGGCCGGCTGCATGTGTGTAGACCTCCATATTGTCTTGATCCAAAGCGCGCTGCCACGCTTCCGCGTGTTGGTCATAGATGCTGTTTGCCCTGGGCAGAGCAGCGTCCCTTTGGCGTTGCCTTAGGTGTGGCTCATTCGCTGGGGCATCTGGTGTGCGCTGGTTCTTGCTGATGTAGTGGTGTAATTCTGGCGTATGTCTCCACCTTGTAGCCCTTGGGCTAGGTCATGAAATCCTTGGCGTTTCTTTGGGTTGGTCCATGCTTCCCAGACTGAGCCCAATTGCACAATGACCGTGACTGGCGTTTGGACGTACTGTGCTAAGGTCAGGAGCCCCTGGAAATGTGGTCCTTTGGCCATGCCGGTGATGGCCCCAAGTGAGTAGCTGTGGATACAGAGGGAGTAGATCCAGGCTTGGGCACGTTTGTCCGCTGACGTTGGTGTGGCCAACCGTGACTGACAGGCCTTCCCCGGTTGGAGTGGTAGTGGTTCGAGGCTTTGCCAGCATCCGTGTCCATGGAGTTCAAGTGTTTGTTCCAAATGGTCTTGCGGCTCCTTTGGTATCCATCCATGGGCCCAAAGTGGTTCTTCCAAGGGATCTCGCAGCCTTTCAGTCCATGGTATGGGAATGGGCGGATGCATAGCCACAGGATGTGCTTCGGCGCGGCTGGGACATTGCGCAAGGGACACCAGGATCTAATGTGATTGGCCTGTGCTTTAGTGAGCTTCTTCATGGCTTTGTGTGCCACTGTCCCATCAATCCCACTGACCAGGTGTTGGCAGTTCTTTTTGTTGGCAAAGCGGAGCCGTCGTTGTTGCGCTGCTTCTCTCAAGACAGTCTCTTCTACAACCTACCACTCCGCTCGGTCATGTAGGCTGTTTCATGTCGTGTCCAAGTGTATAGACTGCTTGTGGTCCATCCCCATTCCTGCAGATAGGCTATTGTTGCCGCCATTGGTCCCTTTCACGTGGTACCAGGAGTAGGTTTGCTTCCGTTTGCTCGATGCGCGGCAAGTGGTCTGGAGGCCAGTGCGCCAGAAGGGTATGCAGGGCGTGGATGTGCTGGAGGACCACTTGGTCGGCTGGATCCATGTATTTGTGGCTGTATTGGTCGTAGACAACATCTGGTTGCCCACCACTCTGGAGCCCAAGATGGTTGGCTAATGTACGCCGAAGGGCCTGGCGCAAACGTGGGGCTAGGCCCTGACCTTGTTGTATTCCCCCTCTGTGCAATCTGAATCTGGTCTTGAGGTTTGGCAGTTTGAGCGTTCTGAGTCTCAGTCTTCGTTGTCGATTCTTCTTGAATCTTTGTTGGAGGGTTGCAATGCGTCGTCTGCATCCCGCTTGGTGGTCAATGCCAAGATCTCTCATGACCGTTTGGATGGGTGGGTCCTCGGGCTGCATTGGCCAAAACTGCTTTTGGTCCTGTGTAGACTTACATGGCAAATTCCAGTGCAAGTGTGGGTACTGGAGCTCTTGAGCAGCTTGCTGGAGTTTGGCGAGGTCAATGGTGTCGTAAAAGGCGCTCATGTCCAATCAAGAGCACTGCAATGCCATGCTTGGAGAGTGTCTTGTTACTCTGTTAGCGCAGGAGGCGCTCCAAGGCAACATGGAGGGCAGTAGCCCCTGGGCGGGCACGGTCGTATACGTCCATGTACTGGGGAGCTGGCGCTGCCATTAGTCCAAAATGCTCTGTCGTAAACGGCACCAGGTGCAGTAGAGGACACTGGTGAGTGCAATGGGTCTTTCGACCTTCTCGTTATTGCTCATTTGCAGTTGTGTTGTGAGTGTTGCCGTGGTTTCGATATCCTGGAAGATCTTGAGTAGGCCTGGCAGCGCCTGGGGTGGTGCAGTGCGGAGCATTTGGGTGGATATGGCATCAGGTCCACATGCTCGATCTGGCAACTTCTTTAAAGTTTTGGCCAAGTGCCCAATGGTTAGTTCCGGGAGTTGTGCAGCCTGCGTTCGGGCCTCTTGTTGTAGAGTCTGCCTGGGCATGGTGTTGTTGTCCTCCGTGGGTTGCCAATGCGCATGCCAGTCCTGAGCTCTGGCCTCGGTTTGTGGCCCCTTAGCCATGCCGGTGATGGTGCCTTTCCGCTGGACTGGAGGGTTTCCAGCGAGTAGCTGTGGATGCAGATTGCACAGACCCAGGCTTGAACCCGTTTGTCCGCTGAAGTTGGCGTGGCATCGACTGTGACGGATAGGCCTTGCCAAGGTTGGAGTGGCAGTGGTTCGAGGCTTTGCCAACATCCGTGGCCGTGGAGCTCGAGGATGTGTTCCAAATATAGATCAAGCAGGGCGACAACGAAAGATATAGCCACCCTCCAGCAAAGATTCACGAAGAATCGACAGAGGAGACTACGACTCAGAGCTTTGAGGTTGCCGAACCTCAAGGCTCAGATTGTACAGAAGAGGCATCCAACCGGTTTGCTACCGCCAAGCCCTCAGACATGCCTTAGCTGCCACAGCGGAGGGCAAACAGATGTCGTCTACGACCAAAACAGCCACAAGTACATGGACCCTGCCGACCAAGTGGTCCTACAGCACATCCACACCTTGCACACACTACTTATGCATTGGCCTCCGGACCACCTTGGAAGGAGCTTCACAAACAGCTCAGACAGCAAACCTATCCCTGGTACCACGTCAAAGGTCCAATGGCTGCAACCATGGCCTATTTGCAGGACCACAAAAGCAGCCTGTACTCCTGGACACGCCGCGAAACAGCCTTCATGACCGAGGCACACATCGACATGAGAGAAGACTGGCGGGTCGTCGAAGAGGCCGTCTTGAAGGAAGCAGCCCAGCAGAGACGACGAGGTTGACCAGGGGCGGAAGCCAATGTCGGGAACATGTGGCAAGGCCGGGAATGTTCGCAATTGGTTGTCAAGTTCAAGGGCATAGGTGACCAGACAATGTGGTCTCCAGGGGACGGCCCAGTCAGTGGTCATAGATGTGTGTGGAGCAAGGTTGTTGTGGATGAGGGCGTAGTCCACAGTATCGCCGTTGAGCATCGCGGCGTCCGGTGCCAGGATCTGCCAGTGAAATTTTGAGCCCAGGACAGTTCCTTGGAACTGATTCGGATGCCCAGAGCCCTCAATCCACATGGGCCTTTCATCATCCCACGCTCACTGGATGGTTTCTCAAGAGCCAGCACCGAGTACATGCCAATAGCTTACATATGTCACAGAGGCCCGACACATGACTCTGGACACTACTTCGCGATTCTGGTCTACAGAGATTTGATGGTGGATAGCCGACGATGGAGGCACACCCACTACTGCCCTTTCTGACACCACAGCTTGCTGGCCAAATCGTGCAAATTTGGGCCGTCCAGACATCCGCTTTCGTGACCCCAAGACAAATAGCAAGGGCGTTGCCGGAGCCTGAGACTCCAGACTATGATCCCCGGTCCACAGCACACCGCCCAAAAAGGCCAGATTCACACAGGACTCCATGCGGATCGATGTGGCAAATATTACAACCTTTGGCAAACACACCCTGGACTGGCTTTGGGGCAGAAACAATGACTTACATGTCTTGGTTGAGACTCACCTGGACAAACAAAAGCACAGTTCACTCTGCCAATATTTTGAGGTGCGAGATGGTGCGAGGAAGACACGCCTTTGGCATGCCCGCCCATACCAACGCCACCAACGAAGGCAACCATGGTGGCATCCTGATACTGCACGACACCTTTCATGGAACCACCCAATTGGAGCCATACCACCTCGAAGGATGTGGATATCAAGCCTTCCTTTGGGAAGCCAAGGCCAGATCCATCCCAGTGGCGGCGGTCTACTTCAAAACAAATGAGACCGTCCAAGGCACCACCAACTCTCAACTACTGGCGAGGATCCTGGCTTGATTGAAGCGACAGTACATCCTGGTGGGGGATTGGCGATGACCCCTTCATGTGTGGTGGCTCTGTTGACGTGGCCCACCAAGACCATCTTATCATCACCAAGGAATTGCCCAA